TCATAGAGTTTGCAACTACTGAACTGTCATTGTAGTGTAAAAGCAGTCATCAACTGTATATCAATGAGTGATCATGACTGTGCTAAGAAAACTTTGTGGATATTCAAATTTGCCTTTCAAATACTTTTAATGTCATAAAATATTACTTTTAATTTTCAGTCATTTAAAAATATAAAAACTGTAAAAACTATTCTTACTTAGCTCCATTGGTTGTACCTTAAGCTTAGTATGTCCAAAACTGAGCTCCAAATGCTCTCCTCATCCTCAAACCTATTCTTTCACAGTCTTTCGTATCTCAGTAAATTGCAGATCCATTGTTTGGGCCCAAAATATTAGAATTACCCTTGATTATTTCTTTATTTTTCTCTTCTGACAGCAGATTCTTCTGTACTTTCAAAATGTATCCAGAATCTGATCTCTTCTCCTACCTACACTGCGCCCTTTGTCCAAGTGTTCATTCTTCTTCTGGATTTTTGCAGTAGCCTCTGAATTGATTTCTGTCCACTTCTGGTCTCTTTCCCCTTCATGACCCCCCCCCCCACCACCTTAATGACTTCTTTGTTATAGAAGAGAGCAGCGGAGATTTTTGAAACCAGATGATTTAAATTTTAGGATTGCAGTGTGATTTGGGGGAAGTCACTTTACTTCCCTGAATCTCAGTGTTACATTTAAAATGGGCATAATACTTGTTTCATAGAATTGTTAATAGTATTGAATGAGATAATGTTGTAAAGATCTTTCTGGTACTGCACCCAGCAGAGAATAGGTAATGGAACAAATAAATTGTGGTTCCTTTTTCTCTTTTCTACTCCAAACAGATGAGCTGCTTTTCATCTTTTCTGGTTATGGAAGTGCTTATGTAACCAGGGCGCATCTTATCGATGTACCTATTCATAAGTGACATTTGGCTAATAAATAAATCTAGCTTATGTTCCTGGTCCTTCCTTTTGCACTTTAAAAAAATTCCATTCATACCTTTCAGTTCATGTCTGCCTTTGTTGGCATTAAATGTATACAGTTCTTACAAATTCATGCCTGATTAGTAAAAGGGACCAGAGTTTATACTTGAATAGTAAAACTTTAATCTATTTTTATTGTATTCTATTCAGTTTTAATACCCCCCCCATGCCTTCTATTAGGGTCGTATATTTAAGTTACCAAAGAAGGATTGAAAACAACCAACTTCAAAATTTTTATTCATAAAAGCTAATCTGTTATTGATTGTAGCACCGTATTTAGCTAAGAACACTAAAGATGAGCTTGGCTTACCAAATTCAAGGTTACTTAAATTGTTAATTTTTCAACTCTAATATTTTGATCCTGGGTTGAAAAGAAGAATCATTTGAAGTATCCCCTTCTTACAGGAAAGAAAATATTTTTCTTGGAATTGTTCAGGCACTTTCTTATTAGACTTTCTCTAACTTAAGTTCCTTCATAGAAATCACTACATACTGAATATCCCTATATGGTTGGTATTTCTTTACCAGGCCTATTTTAGTGCTTTAATACACCTCAGTTGAAAGCTATTTAGCCTTTGAGATAAATTAATTCTCCAGTGACATTTTTCCCCTTTGCAATAATGGGAATTGGAAATCTATTCATGTTTCTCAGTATTAAAAGTATATTGTTTTATATTACTTGCTGGATTTAACTCAGTGTGCAGATAAAAAAACAAACGTTCTCTGTGGATTATCTCAAATCCAGGAAACCTAAGCTCTGGTTTTAAAAGCTAGCACTTGAGTTGAACAGTCAGGTCTTTTTATTTCTGTATCTGTTAAAACGGGGTTTTCCTCTGCAAAGTTCACAGTATATCTGAAGTAAGTCTTTAACTCAAGTTTGATGAGTAAATTCTTACTTCATAGACGCAGCCCAGTCCTACCTTCTACACTCTGGGGTGAGGTAATCAGTCTTATGCAAATAACTTGACTTACTTGAAGACTGAAGGTCTTCTGTTTTGTCCATAAATGTAGATGTAAGTGTCCCGCGTGGGAGGTCTTATCTGTACTGAAGGAATTGTGTGTTAAGCAAAGCAAAAATATTTAAAGTACTGTATGTCATTGTAGTCTTGTTATTTTGGATAATGGATTACTGGTTCCATAAGCACACCACAAACAGTTTTAAAGAGGTTGAAATTTTTTCCTACATCATCTTGGGGAAGTGGTGAGTTTATTCTTCTTAAAAAATCTTTACTTTTACCTGAGAGTTAATCTCAATTCTTATGCTCGGTCTACACTGGAGTAAGACGTGGTTGGTTATAGGGTTTCAGTCTTAGAGGAGTGAATTGCTCAAATTTACTGCAATGTATTTCTGATTTAATTTTGAAAATTTAGGCAGTTAAAACATTTTAGATATCAAAATTGATTTTTTTGTCTTATTATTCACTGGTTTGCTGACTCAAAACTATGTCTTAAGCCATTTCTTGCCTATATTTTTCCAGTGGGTTGTTTTATTGATATCCTAACATTCCACAGATGATGCGAATTTAATACTATTTGAAGCCTAGTTTTTTTTTATTTTTTGCCTCTTATTGTTTAGGAAGACAGCGCTGATGAGGGGTAATGTCTATATTTTATTCATATTACTTCTCACATACTTTAAGAGCGTGTTTGTTTTTTTTAAAGATTTTTTTTTTAAATTAATTTATTTGACAGAGAGAAAGACAGCGAGAGAGGGAACACAAGCAGGGGGAGTGGGAGAGGGAAAAGCAGGCTTCCCGCCGAGCAGAGAGCCCGATGCGGGGCTCTGTCCCAGGACCCTGGGATCATGACCTGAGCCGAAGGCAGACGTTTAACGACTAAGCCACCCGGGCGCCCCTAAGAGCATGTTTTGATGTTAAAACAAATTATATATATAAAATTTTATCCACATAGAAAAATCAGAAAAATGAAAATTTAAGACCCGCCTGAATATGAATGTTACTTATTGTAATTGATTTACAAGTAAAGGAGAAGAAAGATACTTGCATAAAAAAATTAAATAATTACTAGGATGAAAAATTGACTAGTACTGTATTTACACATCTATTTAAGATGCCATAAATTTCTGGTATAGTTTTGTATTTTGATAAAATCCATGTGGGGCGCCTGGGTGGCTCAGTCGGTTAAGCGGCTGCCTTCGGCTCAGGTCATGATTCCAGGGTCCTGGGATCGAGTCCTGCATTGGGCTCCCTGCTCAGCAGGGAGCCTGCTTCTCCCTCTTCCTCTGCCTCCCTCTCCCCCTGCTTGTACTTTCTCTCTGTGTCAAATAAATAAATAAAAATTTTTTAAAAAATGAATGTTTATTCCACAATAATTTAGGACTGCATAATACTTTATCTTTTTCTTTTGTTTAATCTGTTGAAAGATCTAAGTTATTTGACCTATATAATTTCCCACAGTCTGAATTTTGTTGATTGTGTGCCCAGGAACAATTCAACATTTTCTTCTGTCTTTTGTTTTTCCTGAATACTGACAGCTAGATTCAGAGGTTTGACCAGACTCAGGTTTGATCGAAAACTATGGTTGTGCTCCTATCACCAAGAGGCATATAATGTCTGGTTTTTACTCTTTTTTAATGTTATTAGTCATTGATGCTCAGTGCCTCTGGAGCTATTAATTCATTATGAAATGGTGATATTCTGATTTTTTCTTTTGGTTCCCATTTATTATCTGGAATGATTTTATAGACGATCTCTCTTATATACTCTTTGGGTACCAGTACAATTTATATAGGAAATGTAGGATGAATTGCATAGTTCTTTCCTTTTTCCCAGATTTCAAGATAATGAACTGGATTCCTGTCATCCTCAGAAGGTGACTAGTTTAGTGTAGTGTTGTTTTTTAAACATCATTGTGGGGCGCCTGGGTGGCTCAGATGGTTAAGCGTCTGCCTTCGGCTCAGGTCATGATCTCAGGGTCCTGGGATCGAGTTCCGCATCGGGCTCCCTGCTCCTTGGGAGCCTGCTTCTCCCTCTGCCTCTCTCTCTCTCTCATGAATAAATAAATAAAATCTTAAAAAAAGAAACCAAAACATCATTGTGATCTCATGACCAGGGAGAGCAGACTCCCCACTGGGCTTGATCCCAGGACCCTGAGATCATGACCTGAACTGAAATCGAGTCAGCGCTCAACCAACTGAGCCACCCAGGTGCCCAACTTTCTTTTCTTTTAAGATCTTTTGTTATGTTTATTTATGTTTGTTTTCTTATAGTTCAGTCTTCAGTACTGAAATTATTTTTGTTTTATTTCTAGTTCTTTCTTGGTTTCTGTTTCCTCATTTCTGAGTTTTTCTAATTCTGATTTATATTACTCTTTCATGTATTATATGATTTTCTTATTATATCTCATGAGACGTATAAATGTAATTTTTATTAGTAAAACATATAGCCCAAAGGATTATTTGACATACTTTAAACAAATAAGCAGCTGTAATTAATTTAGACATTGCTTTAAATCTTTAAATCAAGGCTTCGATACTGGGATCTGTGAATGAACTTCAGAGTTGATAACATTATTCATTACATGTGAAGTAGAGTGTATATGTATGGGGATAGGGAAAGAACTGCTTGACTTTCTTTACACTTCCAGAGGAGACTGTAAACTGTCCTCACAAAAATACGGGTAATAACCTTTGATTTATATAGGAAAAAGTCCTCAAATATTTCAATGATTGAGATTATAAGAAATGAGAACAAATGCTAGATATTATAGTTTTTTAAAAAGATTTATTTATTTATTTTAGAGAGAAGGGGAGAGAGAGCATGTATGGGGTCGGAGGGGCAGAGGGAGAGGGAGAGAGAGAATCTAAGCAGACTCCCCGCTAAGCACAGAACCCGATGCTGGGTTTGATCTCACAACCCTGCAACCCTGAGATCATGACCTTAGCTGAAATCAGGAGTTGGACCATAACCGACTGAGCCAAGTGCCCCTAGATATTGTAATTTTAAGATGCAGATGGCACCGTAGAAGATATTACATCAATTCCATTATCTATTTGCTTATGCCCTTTCTACTTTTATATAGATGGAGGGAGCGAGGAACCACCGGATCGAAGACAGTCAAGTGTAGACTCTCGCCAAAGCCGCTCTGGGCAAGGTAAGCTTTCATTAAATTTATTATTAAATTGAAAAGATATCAGCTATTCCTTTCTAGTACTAACTCTGAGGTTTGGGGTTTTCTCTGGGTCTAGTTTAGATATTCTAGTTTCTCCTTTAGAGCTTTAAATGTTGTAATCTAAAAGTTCTATGATATCATTTATTCAAGATAAAATGAAAAATTTTCTCATGTCATTTTTTTAAATGGTAATACCTTAATAAGATTTTAAGTAATTTTGGAGCATTGTGATATATATCTGGATATCACTTTTGGAATATCACCTAAAGTAAATTTTTAACAGTAACATTTGTATTAGCACACTGGCTTTTTAAAATTTAATCAGTACAGTATTTGTTGCCTTATCTCTCTCAGAAGAAATGGTTTTTGTTTATAATTGCTATTTTAAATTAGGATCTTACTAATTATTTTCCTTTTCTGTTGAAAATTTATTATATGCTGTAGACTGGTTTTTTGAAGTGACAACTTCCAAACTAGGTAAAAAACATCCTGTATCAGTGAAATCTTCAGATAGGCCTTCCCTAATTAACTTATTTAAAATTGTATGACTAGTGCCTCCACATTCGTTTTTCTTCATAGTACTTATCACCTTTGTATTTATTTTATTTTCTCTGTCCCAAACTAGAATGAATGTTTCATGATTATAGAGATTTTTGTCTGTTCTGTTTATTACTGTATTTCCAGTGTACCAGGCACATAGTAGTTACAAATAAATATTGCTGAATGAATGAAATGATCTCTAAGAGAATGGAATTGAGAACCCAAATTGATGAATATATTACAAAATTTCAGGCAGTCATTTTGACTGATGTATGATTCTTAGAGAATGTTTACTTATAAATAAAATAAAGCTTTGATTTACAAATATATGGTGTTTTTTATCCTGTAAAAGCTCCTGGTTCGTTTATTCCATAATCCTATTACCTTTTTTCTCCAGGTTTGCTCTTCCCAAGTTTTAGAGTTGTACTGTTTTTATAAAATTATTTGTTGCAGAATAAAAAGAGGAATAATATATGCAGGTTGATTTGGAAATTTTAACTTATACTAGTAGTTACTCATTCTTAAATAATATGCATGGTATATCAGGAATTTGTCTAATTTTTCTTTTTTTCCCCTTAAACATATTTTTATATGAAAGAAGAACTTAAGATGAATTACAGTATATAAGTATATCAAATCAACACACTGTACACCTTAAACTTTCATAATGTCATATATGTCAATAATATCTCAATAAACCTTGGTGGGGGGGAGAAAGAAAATGAACACATGTATGAAAGACCCTAAAGATAAAATTAGTAGAAATTAATAGAAAAATTTATACTAATTTTTATTAAATATAATAATTTGTATTAAATGTCACAGATACAGATATGGGAGATTATTCATTTATCTTATGCCCCTTGGGCTGTGTCAGTTAAAATATTTTTCAAATCACTGAGTGTAGTTGAGTTTTAATAACAAAAGCTGAGGGGCACCTGGGTGACTCAGTCAGTTAAGTGTCTGCCTTTGGCTCAGGTCATGATCCTGAGGTCCTGGGATTGAGCCCTGCATCCGGCTTTCTGCTCAGCTGGGAGCCTGATTCTCCCTCTCTCTCTGCCCCTCCCCGTTTGTGCTCACTGTCTCTCTCAAATAAATAAATAAAATCTTTAAGAAAACAACAAAAACAAAAGCTGAACCTAATAACAGCAAAATCAGTGATCTCCATGACCTTGAACACAACTACCTGATCTCAATTAGAAATTACCAGGAATTGCATCATCATCAGAGTTAACTAATAGTTAAAGTGTGTTTCTTACTTCTCTGAGATTTTGTTTATAGTATTTCTTTATTCAGAAGACAGAAATAAAAATTACAAAGCCATCTATAATGAGCTGAATGAGCATCAGTATTATCAGGAGTAAAGAGATGGGATAAACATGCACTTCTACTTTTGCTCCTTGCCGAAACCTGCTAAATAGTTGGTAGAGGGGGATTGGAGAAAAGCCAACATCAACACAATTTTAGAAACTGGAGAGTATATGAATAATTAAAAACTGAACCCTAAGCTCAGTAGCAGAGAAAATCAAGAAAACAACCTCCAGAAGCTTCAAAAAACTCAAGAATGGTGGCATGTAGACATGGAGATGAAAGGAAGATTAGCTGAAAGTCAGTTGAAGAAGCATTTGATTCCTGAGACCTCTTCCTCAAAATTAGCTAACCAGTCAGCTGGGCAAGTGCCCAACTCCCCACTCTTACCCTTGGCAAAACCCAGAAATTTATTCTTTGTAATAAAATAGAGATTCTAGACTGGGAGACACCTACCAGGCATAGTTCAGGGCAGTCCTATACTGAAAATAGGACAGTTGGACTCCAGTTGTCTTTATCCTATTGGTACTAGGATACTGGCAGGTAGGCTTTCATATTTCAGGCAGGAGGTTGGCATAGTCTTTTCTGAAGAATCTGACTAAAAAGAAAGACACAAAATGTAGCCATCAGAGATTCCTTAAAAAAACAGCCCAGCTAGATCGCTCTATGTATCAAAGCTCTCAATCAGCCTTTTAGTCCTCTTCTCTTAAATATTAGCAACTAACCAAGGGTTACTTTAGATATTTGAGGAAACCCTCTAATGTATGAAAGATAGAGATTAAAATAAGTAGAATAAAGCAACTTGGAGAGAACTTGGAGAAATTTTGCAGAGAAAAATAATAGAACCATTATTAACATCCTTTGGGAAATAAAAGAAACTAATACAGTCTTTTAAAGACATGTAAGTTTTTGGTTTGGGGCTTTTTTTTTTTTTTTTTTGCCTGCCTTGTACCCTTTCTTAGGAATTTTTAGGATATGATGCATCAAAATGAGAAAGTCACACAAATAAAAGGAAGAAATGGGTTACAGGAAATAGGAAGTTCAACAAAGGAGAAAGGTAAAGAAATCTTTAAGATGACAATGAGAAGACAGGGAGAGAGGAAAACCAAACAAGACTGGAGTAGGTTAGAAGCCTCCAGAAGAGTTGTCTCACGAAAATGAGATTGGTAGAAACCTGATGCATTTAATTATCTTCAGAAAAATTTTAAACAACTGGCAAAAGGTTTAGGGTTGAATTGGTGATAAATACATAAAATAATAAGTAAAAAAAAAAAAAAGTCCTAAATTCAAGGGAAAACAAATAATGTGTAGGAAAGGAGATATTCTTCAGAATAAGTCCTCAGTCCTTGGGGCAGGGTTTGGGGTAACTGATGTCTATGCCTGTCTTATCACTTTACTCCAGTGTGGTACCAGTATTTCCATTATTTGATTTGGACCATTATGGTTGGGAAGCAGTACTCTGAAGCCCGGTGAGCAAATCTGGTGTATGTGGCTTCTTTTTGTACAGTTGATAGATTTGATTTGCTAAAATAATTTTTATTATTTTTGCATCTATGTTCAAGTGGGATATTGACCTTTAGTTTTCTTGCCTTACAATGTCTTTGATTTTGGTACCGGAGTAATGCTGGCTTCCTAGAATAAGTTGAAAGTTGAGACGTATTTCCTCTACTTCAATTTTCCTAGAATGTTTTGTGTAGAACTAGTATTATTTCATCCTTAAATGTTTGATAGAATTTCTCAGAGGAGCCATCTGGGCCTGGAATCTTCTTTTTTTTTTTTTTTTTAAAGATTTTATTTATTTATTCATGAGAGACAGAGAGAGACAGAGGCAGAGGGAGAAGCAGGCTCCCCGTGGAGCAGGGAGCCCGATGCGGGACTCGATCCCAGGACCCTGGGATCATGACCTGAGCCGAAGGCAGACGCTTAACCGACTGAGCCACCCAGGCGTCCCTGGGCCTGGAATCTTCTTTATGAGAAAGTTTTAAGATACAAATTAAATTTCTTGAATAAAATATGACTATTTGAATTATCTTTTCTTGAGTAACCTTTTAAAATCTGTAGATCTTCAGTGATGTCACCTCTTTCATTCCTGATATTGGTAATTTGGGTATTCTTTCTCTTTGAACTGATCATTCTGGGAAGAAATATATCAATTTTATTGATCTCAAAGAATCAGTTTCAGTTTTCATTTATTTTCTCTGCTGCTTTCCTGTTCTGTATTTCATTGATTTCTGCTTTACTCTTTATTATTTCCTTTCTTCTTTCTGCTTTGGGTTTAATTTCTTTTTCCTCTTCTAGTTTCTTATGGTAGAAGCTAAGGTCATTGATTGGAACTTTCTTTTCTGTATAGGAATTTTAGTGCTATAAAATTTCCCTCAATGTACTGCTTTAGCTGCATTTCACAGAATTTGATGAGTATGATTTCATTTAGTTCAAAATACTGTCTGATTTCCCTTGTGATTTCTTCTTTAACCCATGTGTTATTTAGAAGTGTGTTGATATAGTTTCCAAATATTTGCAAATTTTTCATATATCTTATATTGATTTCTAATTTCGTTGTTGTCAAAGAACACTTTCTTTGAGTTGAATCACTTTTTATTGAAACTTGTTTTGTGCTCCAGGAAATGATCTATCTTATGTTCAGTATGCACTTAAAAAGAATGTGTATTTTGCTCTTTTTGGGTGGAAGGTTCCATAAATATCAGTCTGGTCAAGTTGATTGATAGTGTTGTTCAGGTCTTCTCTACTTTTGATGATTTTCTGTCTGCTCATCCTTTCAGGTACTAGGAGAGGAATATTGAAATCTCAAGTTATAAGTATGGATTTATCTATTTCTCTTTTCAATTATATCATACTCCTTATACTTCCGTTCTTCTGGTCAAAAGGATTCCCCTCCCTCAGAGATTTAAGTATCGTCTCAGTGAGAGCTGCTGATAGTGAAATAGGTTTGCCTTGGGGGCGGAGCTGGAAGAAAAAGGTAAAAAGAAAAAAAAAAAGCCAGGGGATTTTCCCTCAGTCCCATATGGAGCCACCCTCACATCCTTCATTCATTCTGCCTAACCAGGTAGAGAAGACTTGTTTCGCATCTTTCTGCTCTGCTGTTCCAGGATTTGGGTTTCCTTTGAGTTCAGGCT